ACGTGTCCGTGGTAATGGGGGTGTCATCCTCCTCCACGATGCTCACCAAGAGTGCTTGCCATCTTTGTAGTATTTGGGGTCCTAGTACTTGCACAACCTGATGATCGGCGACTTGTCCGCTTAGCCAGCGGTGAAGGGCGTGCTCCATGTCTTCTGCCGGATCCATGATGAAAGTGAGCGTCTAATGATCCGTTATGGTCAAGAGCAAAACTGCATGCGAAATGCAATCCGCACTAACGACACCTAAAGGCGGCCAGAGCATGTCTCTCAAGGTCAAGGTCTAACGCATCACAGCAGTGCACGAATTCACTTGACGCGTGATTTCATGTGCCGAAGAGAAAAGACAGGCTGATTCATCCGTAACGCAGTACTACATGCATCCGATTGCAATCCGTGACTGGCGCACACACTGGGCTGAATGCATAGAGCTCGGTGTGGATATTTCAAACAGTTCGGAACAGCAGAGTGATGTGTGGTGGGGTGGGGGTGCACTCCCTCCAATCTACGACCTGCTCCGCTTGATGCCTTCCATTTTGACATGCTGTGATTAACGCGCTGGTGCCGCACGAGTGAGGGTTCGTGAAGGTGAAAAAGAAATCGTCACTTTGCTCTTCACGATGAGGAAGAAGGATTCGCCAGCTCAGGTAGTTGTCAACGTCGTTGTCCGCGGTCATTGTCTCGGGATCTGTTGGGAACTGGAGGTGGTGTGGTGGGTGAGGGTCTAGGGTGAAAGACGTTGATGGTGATCCCGGTGATCTCAGCGTACTGTGCATCAATGACGCTCTTCTCGGTGTGGGAGAAGACGGTGGTGAAGTTGCGACTGGCCCGGCTGGTGTCGTTGAAGTGTGCCTCGATGAGCGCCTTCTGAGTCGTCCATCCTCCTCCCTTCTGCCGCATGTGGCTATGCTGGGAGGTGGACGATGTGACGCGTCCAAATATGGTGAAACCTGTGGCTATTTCTCGTTCGGCAGGGCCTGCTCTGGCTTTTGGAAGGCGGAGGGCTTTGCGGAGGTTGGTGTGGCAAAATCCGAGTTGGAGGTTGTCGGGTGCGTTGTCTTGGTGGAATCCGTTGAACCCACGGTGGGGTAGGTATGCTTTGTTGTAGGGGAGGTTGTCGTCATCCCAATTGGTGGGCTCCCAATTCGTGGGTCTGACGAAGCCCTCGCGCAGGATGTGCCATAGGCCTGCTTCATCGGTAGCGTGTGACCAATATGCCTTGTAGGCGCCCTTGTGCGTGGGAGGTGATGGACTGTTGGCATCGTGTGCGTGAGGTGGAGGCTTGGTGGTGCGTAGTGGTATGACGAGGACCTGTACCAGTGGGTAGTCAGTGGTGTCCTGTTTGTTGCTGTAGGGGTCGACGTGGATGAGCTCCGGGTGGATCACCGTGTCCGTGCTGGGGTGAGTTCTGAACTGGCCGAGGAAGGGCGTGATCTTGTAGTGAGAGCAAGCGAAGGATCTTGCCACTTGGCGGATGGCCATCTGTGCTGGGTTAGAGAGCCAAAGGGGCTGTCCTTGGGTGAGGTTGGCGATGTCGTGCATGATGTCGTTCATGTACCGGACGCCTGTGCTGGAAGGGTCCATGGGCGGCGGTGGGTCTTGTTGGTGGTACATCTCGGACACACACGCGAGCCTGTAGGGGTCCGCCAAGGCGTCTTGGTAGAGCATCTTCATGCGTCGACGTTCTTCAGGTTTGAAGCCTGATTCGGTTTCTGGTCCTGCATTGTGTGAAGTGGCTTCTGAGGGTGCTTGGGGTGGTCGGGATGAGGAAGCAGGTGTGTCTCTGTGGGTCGCCGTGTGTGAAGCAGATCGATGGAGCGCGGGAGTGAGAACGACGGTCGTGCCTCTGCGCCTGGTGCTGCTTGGGGAGGGGCTGCGTTGGGATGGTGTTGGTTGGGATGTCCGGTGATGATGAACTGGAGAAGAGCGCCTTCTCGATGTTCGCGATTCGGCTTCTTCCGAGTGTCGACGTGTGGATCTGGATCTTCTTGGACTGCGTGGCCGTCTGGTTTTGCCTGTCTGGTGGGGGTCGTTGGGTGCGGGGCTGTGGGGTGAATGGGAGATGTGCGTGTGTCGCGTAGATCTGGTGCTCCTGGGGTGGGCTGGGCTGGGCTCATAGGTGGTACGGCTGCGACTTCGGGTGTGGTGTGTGGTAAAGGACTCTGCTCTGTGTTGGTCGCCAGGATGTTGTAGTTGCGTTGGGGCGACTCTGGTATGGGACTGGAGTAGCGGTGCCACGACTTTCTCAATCATGCCTGTGATGCACGTGAACATCTCCGTCATCTGGGATGGTGTCGTCATCGACGTGGTTTGAGAGGGTGGTTCTGGGGCTTGACGAGGTTGTTGATGTTCTCCGTGATGAACAGGTTGGCCTCTTTGATGGTCATCTTGTTGTGTGTCCGAAATCTGGGCGGGCATAGATCGCGGAAGTGCTGGAAACGGTCTGGACTGCGACAAAGGCTCCTGCCGTGCTGCGTCTCGCTGCGGATCTCGGTGAGCGTTTGAGTGGGGTCTTGCTGAGATCTGCGTCCTTGGTCTAGGTGTTGTGTGTCAACTGGAGCATCTTGTTGACGTGGCTGGCCGTGTTCTGCTGGATCTCGATGTGCACAGGCGCCAGGGGTATTTAGTAGGGAGATGGGGTAAGGTCCCTCTCGAACTGGAGGATGGGGCTCTGCTTGCGCGAACACGGGATGATCTGCTCGTTGTGGAACATTCATTTGTTGCTGAAGATGGTGTGCTGGCCGAGGTGTGGCTTGATTCCATTCTGGTCGACCCTGAGGAGGGCTTTGTTGTTGATGATGATGCGCAAGGTCTCGAGGATGGTGGTCTGGTCGTAGATCTTGGCCTTGATGATATTGCTGACCATGCTGAAGATACGGAGGTGGGTCCGGATTCTGCCAATGACTTGTGGCCTGGGGGTAGGAGTGAGGTTGTGGATGTAGAGGTGCTGGGCGTACTTCCGGGTGATCGCTGCGACCATGTTGTTGAAGACTGGCATGTTGGTGGTGAAGATGGATGTTCTGGTTGGTCATCGGTGAATGTGGGCCCGTCGTTTGACTCGAAGGTGCGTATCCTGCTGCATCATCACGACGATGCGTCGGGGGACCGAACTGCATTTGATCCAAAAACGCGGCTGGTGCTATCCATTGTGGCCGTAGGGATGCTGCATCCTGGTAGGGTGGCCACTGGTATTGAGCGTGTACTCCTCCGGCTGGTGGGTGTTGATTCCATCGACTTTGCCATCCTTGATCGTCTCCTGGGTAATGTGCCGTTGGGTGTGGCGTCTCAGGAGGAGGAGGAGGAGGATGTGCTTGATAGTCTGGTGGAGGAGGAGGAGGAGGCGGCTGCCGCTGCCAACTTTGTTGGTACCACTGGTAGCCGTCCATGGTGCGAGTCCGATGTAGCTGGGGTACGAGCTACTCACTACTCTGACCTATGAAACCATTACGGCAAAGATATAGCAAAAAGAATGTTGCTAACCTCTCCGGATGCTGGGTCAGGACTAACAATCGAGGAACATACGGCACGCCGGCCGTCTTGCTGGGCATCGGTGGCACCCACATTAGTGGGCCCGGCATGTTACTAGTGCACGAAAACAATAGTACTTTGCATTCTCACTCGCCAGGTGAGCTCACATTTTTGGATTATCCTATGCGTCCGCACCGAAGTGAAGACTAACATAGGCAGCATGAACGCGTAGGAGCGAGGCTCCACCTACACCCGCGGCCCAAGGCGAGGGCGGGCTGGCTGTATAACACACTTTTTGTTTTAGTGCGTCCACATAAACTGGTAGATGGAGATGCTCCGAAGGTAGAGATGCTCAAGCAAGAGGTAGTAGAGGAGCCCGAAAGTGATGAGGTAGAAGGGTCGCGAATGAAGGTTTATATGAAATATGCTATAAGGTACTTGAAATGCTCCTGCAACTGTGCTCATCACGCTCAGATGCTCTGCAAGTCATGCTCTGATGCTCCACCACTCATGCTCAAACAAGCTTGCTCACCACGCTCAGAAGCTCTACAATTCATGCTCTGATGCTCCACAAGTCATGCTCGCACAACTCTGCTCAGCACGTTCAGATGCTCCACGATTCATGGTCTGATGCTACACACTTCATGCTCCCGCAACTCTGCTCATCGCGCTCCGATGCTGCACAGTGCATGCTCATATGCTCTAACACTCATGTTCCGAACCTTCTCCATGCTTTCGTCCATCATCATGCTCGACATGTTCCATCACCATGCTAAAATGACATGCTCACGCAATTCTGCTCAGCTGCTATTCACAACACACAAGCTGAAAGCATCACGATCCACTCAAGCTTGATGGGCTCGAGGTCTTCTGGGGTTTGGGGTATGTCATGCTCACGGCATCGAGAATTCACCCATGCTCAAATACCAAATGCCCAAAATGAAAATCTCGTTCTTGAAGGACTGGTTGAAGCAACAGCAATGATGCACCATACACAGCTTGCGTTACAGGACGTCTATAACCATCACTGCAGGTACGTGGAGATGGCGTCCCATCTCCATATCACTGTGCACTGAGAGCGTCTTCGTTGGCAGGAGACTCTCAGGCACACTCCTGCCCCCTGCTGAATATCATGTGCAAAAACTTGTTAGATCGCAAATTCGTGCTTCTTTTCACTCTCGTATGCAGTGCTTGTTGACGTTCCCGCATGTACAGCGGTGTGCCACACACACACACACACACACACACACACACACACACACACACACACACACACACACACACACACACACACACACACACACACACACACACACACACACACACACACACACACACACACACACACACACACACACACACACACACACACAACTTGAGATGCTGGACCCTAAACCCTAAACCCTAAACCCTAAACCCTAAACCCTAAACCCTAAACCCTAAACCCTAAACCCTAAACCCTAAACCCTACACCCTAAACCCTAAACCCTAAACCCTAAACCCTAAACCCGAAAGATCCTTTGCCCCTGTTCGAGGAGAACGGCGTCCTGAAGGAGCAGCTGGAGGAGGCCAAGATCATGCGCAAAGCCCTGGAGCAGGCAGGGAGCTTGAGGGGTTTGAGGAGTTTCAGGGGTTTTGAGGAGTTTCAGGGGTTTAGGGTTTAGGGCTTAGGTAGGGAGTTTGAGGGGTTTGAGGGGTTTGAGGGGTTTGAGGTCTAGCGGGGGAAATCCCGAGGTCCCTGACCCGCGGGCACTCTGGTGTGAGGTCTTGGCGTGTGTCTTTTTGACGCAGGGAGCCTAACCACGCCTAAGCGCAAAACCCACATCCGACAGAGGCCATGGAGGAGCTGAAGAGGAAGTTCGAGGCAGTCTGTGTCAGTCTGTGGGGTTTTTGGGCTTGGGGTTTTTATGCTCAGAACGGGCTGCTGGTCCTACGGGTGCGGTAGACCTATCACTGTTCTGGCCCATTGCCTAGTTGCGTGCTTCGCTCCTCTGAGGATTTCAAGAGGCGGTTGCAGGAGAAGGGCGTGGATGTCAGCCACCTGCCTCCATGGCTCTCACTGCTTAGACTTATAGGCAACACTGTCGGGCAGCGTGGAGACGATTCCTTCCAAGCCGCAGCCAGTAAGGCATTCTTGACGAAGCCCTGGCAGAAGCGGGCTCCTGGTCTGCGCTGGGGGCATTCTTTGTGGGGCTGAGTTTAGACTAGGTCCTCTGGGTGGTTTCAGATTGCTGCAGGGTCTTGATTTTTGAATGTGTCCCCTAAAGCCGAAAGTTTAAACATCGCTGCGCTGCAATTTGTCACGTGAGGCATGCCGCTCCACCCCATGAGTGTCTTCGACCGACTCTACAAGGATGCCATTCGCAGGCAGCATCGCTCGCAGGACGCCTGCGCAAGCCGGAACTCGAAACCCTAAACCCTCTGTCCACAACAGTCCACAACCCCAAAAGCCTCTTTAAGCCCAGGAAGCGCTCTGACCCCTGATGCGAGGAGAAGTGGGTGGTCGACATGCGCAACGCGCAGCAAGAGACCTGGGCCGCTCTGCTGCTTTCAGCCTTCACTTGTTGGCGCATGGCGTCGTATGGCCCTTGACGCGCATGCGGCTGCTCTTGGCACAGCGGACTTCTGCAGGAGCGCATCCTCGGAATCTACGACGGCCCGCCCCTGACCAAGGAGGGTATGTCGAAGTGCCACGAGCAGTCGGGAAGCAGAGGGTCAGCAAGGATTCGGCCGCTAGGATGTACATGCCCAAGGTGTGGCCAAGGTACAGGTTGTCGTAGGATCGAGGGATGGGCGCCCTATAACCCAGTCCTGAATCCGAAGGAGCAGGTGAATGCCTTGGTGGAGAACGGGCTCATTGACATCAGGCGCTGTGGGGTTGCTTGACGAGAGGGGTCCTCCAAGCTCAGATGAAGGGCAAAAAAGGGCGGTGTTTCCACGTCACTGTCATTGAACTGAGCTGTATGCCCTGAAGCCCTGAAACATGAAGCCTCCCAGCTTTCTCTCATCCTCTCTGTACCCCATCCCAAGATCCCAAGATCCCTAAACCCTAAACCCTAAACCCTAGACCCTAAACCCTAAACCCTAAACCCTAAACCCTAAACCCTAAACCCTAAACCCTAAACCCGAAACCCTAAACCATGCAGCTCCGGTGCAGGATGTTCGGCATGGAGCGCAAGGAGGCCAAGGAGACCAAGGAGTCCAGCGAGCCGGCCCCGCCGGCCCGCATGATCTGTCCCCGCTGCGGCTCCATGATGAGGCGTGGGGTCTGTGAGAGGGTTATAATGAAAATGATAATAAAACATGATAATGATAACAATAATAATAATAGCAATAATAATAATGATAATGATAGTGATAATAATTATAATAGTAATAATAGTAAGCGTAATACTATACTATTCGTTGTTATTAGAAGCCTCTCGCGGCTCGGAAGCCAATTCAAGGTGTCATTGCAGCTGAGCACAATCGTCCGAAAAGAATATTGGCTCTTTCCAAGCCACTCTGAATTGACAACTTATGTTTCTTCGAATGTTGTAAACATCCGTAGCAGTTGCTATTGAACCCATTCCTACATGCATGAGTATGCAGAAAGTGTAAGCTTCCCAAACGGGGATTACCCCCATCCTGTTTGACATGTGTGCTCAAAGTGTGAGCTCCCACCAAAGCAAGCAGATTACCATGATTTGCCCTGACTGTTTTTGACATGTCTGCTCTGAAACACAGGAAATGCTCGTAAACATGTGTGCTCTGTGTGGCCTGTCACGTGTTGGGCTCCCCACAACGAGATTTCTAAACTCGTACGCCTCAGGGCCACAACGCCGGACAGCGCCCCCGCCGCGCCTCCGCGACCACACACGCACGGCGCGAGCCTGACGGAGTCGGAGCCTTGTGGGCTTCTGAAAGAACGGGATGTTTAAACGGGGCGGTCATAGGGGCTTGAGAATGTTTAACGTGCAGGGAAAGCATCGGGAAGTTCGGGAAAGTTGAAGGCCGCCGCCCAAATAAGGCGCTCGAAGCCCAAGCTCGAGCGTGTCCGCACCTGGGCCGGCAGCGTGACATCGCTGCGCGCTGCAGGAGTATTCAGTCACATGTGTCATGTGTTTTTTACTCATGCAGAGTCCGTCTTCAATGACGCAGCGTGATGCACTGAGCAGCTTCGTTACCTGTGTCACCAAGATGACGAGAGCCCCTAGAGCAAGAACACCTGCAAAGCAAAAGTTTCCTGCATCCTACGTACTCCTCCAATCTCCTTCTCTTGATGGAAATTTCAGGGTTAGCTGTTGGGTCGAAGAAGAGTGATTGAGGAGGCTTTCTGTGAGGTTGAGAGGTTGAGGGTTGGTGGGTTGACCGAGTCCTGCGCTTGTGGGCACCAGTCACGAACTGGAGCCACGAGCGAGTTCGTCACGTGTGGGAATAGCGGCCGAGCAAGCCCCTTCTATCCAAGCAACAGCGCAACAGTGAGATTGTCATGGTTGCCGAGCTCATTGTTGGGCATTGTTAGTCTTTCTGCCTTTGGGAGGAGCGGTGGCTGTTCCCCAAGGCGGCCTGGCGTGCAACTGCAGAAGGAGCCAACACCAATCTCCCCCCAAGCCCCGAATCCGACGATACTGCTAAAGCCTCAAGGCCTCAAAGCCTCAAAGTCCCAAATCTAAACCGAAGTCCCGTCGCATCCTTAAAGACCTGCACCCCAACATCCTGCACTCCCTTGGAGACACTCCCCGCTCCAAGGTGCTTTGACCTACACAAATGCCGAGGCCTTTGCTCGGAAGGAGCTGCCAGTCACCGAACGGTAGGTCTACGCGATTAGCAATGCTTGCGCTTTAGGCTTCCATTGTTGTTGTTTCTTCCCTCTGAACCAGGAGCTTTACTTGGACATTGTGGGCTTCCATCCGGTGTCACCAGTTCACGCTTCCTGGCCGTGCTTTTGGAGCTTCTTAGGGTTGGTGGCCAGGGAGTTGCCGGCTTGCTTTCGGTCGTTGTCGCCCAGGGTTTCAGAGCGCCATGGTGCCATAACACGTGGGGTCGCAGATGAGGAGAGGAGGACCTTCGCCATTGTGAGCGAGGCGGACCAGCAGCTTGGCATGACGAGAAAGAAGCTCAGACTACCTTTCGCGATGTCCACAACCAGCACTTAGTCACCGGCGTCTCAGACGAAAGGTATCGGAAGCACTGCCGGCTACAACGCTTCGGAGAGCCACATCCGCTGGACCCGGGTTCTGGGCTGGGCTAACGGGTTGATGCTCAACGGGGGAGTTGTGTGGAATCATCCCACACCCCTCAAACAGCAACCGGAACTTTATGCCCCAAAAACTGCGTCCGAAGTCCCCGATACCTTCGTTGTGCGGACGGAATTGTGCATCAAGGGGCTTTGGGTGAGGTGTATTGATGGAAGCTTGATGTACTGTACCCCAGCACAACCAAAGGCTTGCTATCCACCCAGCCAAGGAGGCCTAGATCAACATGAAACCTTGAACTCCTGCAGGACTTCCTCATCCCCCTCCCCCCCCCCAGATCCCCCCCCCACCCCCCCGTCTCCTGCTCTGCAGGACTTGCCCTTGCCGTCCCCGACCTCATCGCTTAGCCCAAAGGCGAAGGAAAGCTTCCCAGTGTCCACGTGGCTTGGAGTGAACGATGTAGCGATGTACGGCCTTGTAGGGTTTAAGGGGGATGCTAAATTTTAGCAAGGCCACGGGACGTGACGTCAGCTAAAATTCTGTTTCAAGTGAGGAAAAGCTGAATGGCAAGCATACCGCCCGAAAGAACTGGACCTACAGAGTTCGCAAGTATGTATCCCCAAGCTGTAAAACTTGCATTTTGCATTCCTGTGCTGTGAAACAAGAGCTAAGAGGGTTATTGTTGGGCTACGGGCCCTTATGTTTAGGACATCCACAAGGAAACTGGTCACATGTTCTTGCAGCACTGCTGTTTTCAGCTGATGCAGGTCCAAGTCGGAGCCTGGGTCCTCTCTGGAGGCTCCACCAGTGTCGCTCGCATCGCCCGCATCGCCTGCGTCGCCGAGCAGCCAGGCCAGGTCTCCCAAAATAGATGGCAGCCGTACGGAGCATGTCATCCAAAGATCCCTGAAACGCATCTGGGGCCCGATGTATCCCGATGTGTTTGGGGCGGAAGTGGAGGCAGTTTCTGCCTGTGGTTGTTGCAGACTGGCCAGCGAGCCCAACATGTTTTCGCTCAGCCAACAACTGCTGTTCTCACTCTGGGTTCGTCTCCTTTGCCCACCAGGCGCCTCTAGAGTGCTTCAGCTTGGCGCCAACGGCTTCGGCCACCTGGTGGATCTGGTCGGTAGCATCCTCACAGCCCGAAACCCTGAACCCCCACATGCACCAAGCATCTTCTCCGGGAAGCCTGTGCCCTGTAACCCCGAAACCTTCACCCGCTTAACCCTCTCAACCCCACACCCGCGAGCCCCATTCCTGAGCATAGCCCTGCCCTCCAATCCTCGAGTCCCAAAACCCACCTCCCCCCTCCCCCCCGCCCGTCCCCTTCGCTCTATAAGCACCCAAACCCAAGCGGCAAACCCTGGTCAGTTTGAGGTGGCCGCATCATAGCTGGATAAGCTCGGGGCTTTAAGGGCCTGGAGGCTTCAGGACGTTAAGAAATTGCAAAATGGAGGACTTATGTAGGTGCTCTTGGCAGGGCGCACGGTGTTGCTGAAAGAACGCAAGTTCACGGGTTGCTTGGGGGTTGACTTAGGTTGGCTTAGGGTTCAGGGCTGCAGGGTGTAGCAATAAGCCCTACTTGTAATACCCCTAAAGGGCCTTATAGGGGTTATCCCAATGATAAGTAGGGTTATAAGCCCAGTTATAATTGGTTAGTAAGTACCATGAACCTTCAAGTAGACCCAGGCAGATCTTGAGCCGCCGCCAACGATGACAATAGACTCTGCCAGCGCCATGACGCTCGACCTGCGGGAAACGCAGGCGCGGGGGGGCTGAGGTTTCAGGACCTTTGGAATGGAAGCAATCCATTGTCCCAAAAGTCCGAAACCTGCGTGAAATCCTCCCGAAACCCCAATGCCGTGCCCAAACACCCCACCCCCCCCCGCAACCCACAAGCTGGACACAAGCAAAGCCCTAAGCCCCAAGCCCTTTATGCGCCAGCGTTCGCGCCCTCCCGCCCCGACTCCTTTTCTGTGGTTCGTTGTGGGTTTCGGGTTAAGGTTTTGGGTTGAGTGTTTCCCTGGTTCATAGTCTGCGGTTCATGGTGGGTTTAGGGGCTAGGGCTTGCAGATTTCACTTTGCTCGTGGTGACCACAGGGCCTTTTGGGGGGGGGGGGGAGCACACGGAGGTCAAGTCGCCGCCGCCGATGCTCTCGGAGCCCATCGCGCCGCCGCTGCAGCAGCGCCGTACCAGCCCAAGAGTTGAGAGCGGCTTTTCAGGTTCTTTGGGGGTCGAGTCCTGGGGGTTTAGGGGGCTGAGGGTTGAGGGAGTGTTGACCGGGAAGTCAGGGTGCGCTAGTTCGAGATGCCGCAGCTTTATGGCGAGTTCGAATCGGTAGGCATGGGGGTTTGAGATTCCTGAGGCAGGTCGGAAGTTGGAACAGAACCAGCTTTGAGTGGCCAAAAGCGCTGATAAATTCTTAGCTCTTCAGGCATCTCGGCCCGCGACGCGAAGATTGTGGACGGAGGCCACGGCGGTTTGGTTTGAGCATGTTTGAGCCTAGAGAGAGGTTGTCCCCGTCTGCCTTTGCCGCAAAACCTCCTGCGCTTGCACCACCAGTGTCAAGACTCGGACAGGTGGTGTCAGCAACACGACTCAACCCCCTCAAGTCCCAGAACCCCGCAAGTTTCACACAAGCAGCTGCCAGACGCCCTGCACACCCTTGTCACCCCAAAGCCCTCAAGGCATACATCCCCAAACCACATCCCAAAACCCATCGTGGAAGAGCCTCTGAAGTTCCGGTGAAGTTGCAATGGCGGCCTCGAAGCTTCCAGAAGGTTCGAAGCCTTTGCTCACGGCGGTCCTGCGACTGACAGGGGCTTTGTTCGAGGAGGAGCGGCGGTGGAAGGTGCGAAGGCCCAAAACCCACATACACAAGCTCTCGAAGCACCCCATCCCCCCGTCTTGATCCACGAAGAGATGCAAAGCAGGCCCTGCCGAGTCGGGAATCCCAACCTGAGGCGGTGAGCCTCTGCTTGGCGCTCTTTTGCTTGCTGCTTGGAGAAGCGGCCACCGCCCGGCGCTATGCAGAGGCGGGAGTTTCTGACGTGTGGGTTGACGAAATTAGGGACCCCCAATATAGACCCAAAACAGTAGGATTCACTGAAAATAAGGACCCCGATAGGGCACCCCTACTGTTGTAAACCCCCCACTTCGGCCTCAAAGGTTTCCGCGAAAGACGGACAGATTCCGCCCGCGCGCGAAACCCTCCCTGGAGGTGCACGGAAACCTCATGACGGCCCTGCAGAAGCGGAAGACCACGGCCTTCCGCTTCGGCCTTTGGAAAGTCGGCAAGGCCTCGGTCAAGACGCAGGGGTCGGGTTTCAGGGTTTCGGGTTGTCAATGGCTCTCCTTTTTAGTAATGAGTTTTCTCGTAGTGATGGTTTCTTGCGTTGGTGTTCTGCAGATTCTTTGTGCTGCTGATCGTTTTTGAGATGCGAACTCTATTCTATGGTTACATCTTCCCAGTCATGGGGGTCATGATCATTTTTATCATCATGCTGGCTGATGTGTGTTATTGCTGGTAGTGGTGCTGGAGGTAGTCGCAAGTATAGTGGTGCTGCTACTGACCTACCTTCTGTGAGCAGAGCGTTCTCTGATTTTGTTCCTGCACCGTGACGTCGTCGTGATACAGGGCCCCACTTGTCAAGTCAACTTTCCCATTCCCCAAAGTGTGTCTGGGTGATCTTTTTCAAGCCTTCTTGTTTTTGTCATTTTGCGTAGCTTTCGTGAATATAGGAGGGGGCAGGGCAGCGGGCTGCCGCCGACAGGTCCTCCTGACCATCAGCCCAATCGTGGCGCTGCGAGAGTACGCTGCAGGTCTGCTGGAGCTCACATGGCGCGAGTCGCTCACGAGGCGCCTAGTTGGCCGATACCTCTCAGATGGCACAGCCTCTAAACGTCAGTCCTTCTACAGCCTCACACTGACTGGTGAGATTGACAATCCGGATCAGCGGATATGCCAAGATGTGGGAAGCTTTGTGCACACCGCCGTGTCCTTGTCACAAGACTTGGTAAGGACATTCCTGAGCGTCCTGGCCTTTGCACCCACTCTGTATGCCATATCTCCAACTGCATGCTTCGGGGGCATGGCATATGCAATCCTGGGGACCCTCATAGCCACACAGGGCTTCGGTGCTTGGCTAGGGCAGTACCAGATGAGATGCGTGCAACAGGAAGCTGGTCTTCGATACAAGCTGATCCGAGTGCGGGAGAACGCGGAATCTATTGCATTCTTTGAGGGTGGAGAGGCCGAACTTTCAAAGTTTAACGCGGCATTCACCACCTTGCTTGACACAGCGTACCAGCGTGTTCTGGTCGCCGTTGGCTACGGCATGTTGAATCGCAACTTTCAGTGGGCTACCTTTGTGGTAACGCCTGTGCTGGTCGGACCCGCGTATTTGAAGGGAAAGGTCGAGTTCGGTGTCATTGCGCAGACGAGCATGGCCTTCAACACCATTCTCAATGCTATGACGCTGGTTATGCATCGACTGGAGGCGCTCAGCGACGTGTCCGTGTGTGTCCAACGGTTGCATGACTTGGATTTGGCCCTTCAGCACTGCATGGCCGAGCGTGCTGCATGCAAGCGGCCGGGAGTGCGAGGGCAGGAGTGCATCAACTCGACCGAGGCCGATGCGGATTCCGTGCGAGTGTGCTTCCGAAGTGTGACGCTGAAGACGCCGCTGCGGGCAGATGTGACGCCACGGGTCCTTTTTGGCCGTTTGAGCTTTGAGCTATTGGATGGGCAGTCGCTCCTGGTGACGGGCGAGAGTGGCATTGGCAAGAGCTCTCTGCTCCGCGCCGCGGCTGGGCTCTGGACGAATGGCTCAGGAACCATACAGCTTTGCGACAGGCGGCACGTCTTCTTCATGCCGCAGAAGCCCTACATGTTCTTGGGCTCCTTGCGCAGCCAACTCCTGTATCCGCGCATCGACGATCGCGTAGTCAGCGACAGCGAACTCGAGGAGGTTTTGCGGCGCGTTCGCCTCGGTGATTTGCTCGATCGGCACGACCTTGGCGACACCAGAGATTGGACCAGTATCTTGTCCTTGGGACAGCAGCAGCGCATCAACTTCGCTCGTCTGTTGCTTAGGCCGCAGTCCCAGCTGGCTCTCATGGACGAATGCACTTCGGCCTGCGATGTGCAGAGCGAGTCCCACCTCTACGAGCACCTGCAGAAGCAACTTCGGAGCTACGTGTCTGTGGGTCACCGGCCAGCACTGCGGAAGTTCCACAGCCACGTGCTGTGGCTCCGTCGTGGGGAGGGCCATCTAAAGCAGCCCCGCACAGAGGGCATCTTCCTGCCGATGTCAGAGTTCGAGCGCAGCGCTCCCTGAAGAAAACAGTACTGGAAGTCAGGATAGTCGCCACGGAAGAGTCGGAGCTCGAAGTCTCATTCATTTGTCTGTGTCTTTCTGTCGAGATTTCGCCCTCCCACTCCTTGTCGCTGGGTTCTCCTGCTAGACACTACTTGCGCGCCCCTGCTCATCCTACAGTACTCCAGATTTAGCTAGCCGCCACGCCAGAGTGCACAAGGAGCGAGAGCTTATCAGCTCCTCATGCCCCGAGAACCACACGAGATCTCAGAGAACTCCGGCCGAAAGCGAAACCCGCAAACTGCAGCATCCTGTGACCAGAAGCCTCCCGCAACGCCAGCCTGCGAAATGACCCTGGGCCATTTGCACGCCTCAAAAACCTTAAAAACCCCTCAAAACCCCTAAAACCCCCGAAAGCCAGAAAAGTCCCGAAACACCAAAAACCCTCGGTCCCGTACCCGAAGCCCTAAGAAGGAGCTGCCCCATCAGCCTCCCAGCGTCTCTCACGCGGCAACGTCTTTGCAGCCTCTGCGCCGCTGCGGCTTGGGCTAAGCCTAAGGTTGCTTTCGTGATAGTCAGGGGTTTTGCCGTTTTCGGACATGTTTTTGAACAGTGTGCAGAGTCTTGGGGCTACTTTGACAGTTCGCGCCTTTCTTTTCTAAGCCCGCCCGAAGCCTTACCCACCCTTAGCCCCAGACCCTCAACCCTAAAATATTCATGTCAACCCGAAAGCCCAAAGAATCCCAAAGCCATACAACCCCTAAACTCTAAACCCTGAACCCTGTGTCCCTTTGGGACACCAACAGCTGCCGAGGCAGCCATTCGACGTAGTCATCACCTCCTCGAAGGCGCTTTCGTTTCGTTTGCAACACCTTGGGGTTCACCCGTGCATCAGGATGTTCTAGGGATCGAGTGACCCAATTGAAATGTGGGGTTCAGGGTCGCAGGTCCCAAAGTGTCACAGGTGTGGGATATCAGGCGGTGCACCTGGAGCCAGGGGACGTTGGGCTGGCGCTTCTTCTTCGGTTTGGTTCGGGAGGCTTCTGAAGTTGAAGTGCTTGAAAAGGTTTTCGGGTTGAGAGCAGGTTTGTGGAGGTTTCCCCCCCCCACACCGTACAAGGTCTGATCTGTTCCGAAGCCAGCACGTCGCGATGAATGCAGTGGAAACCGGAATTCGAAGCTGTAGGAGCATGTTGAGAGCCGCAACCCAGTTCCCAAACCCCAGGCAGGCACACTGCCGCAGATTGCCAGTCCCGCACCAAAGGCCCGCGTGGGCCTCGGAAGTTCGGTTCTGTGACGTGATCACTTCTGCGAAGAGTCTACAACTCAAGGCGAGTGTCGTTCTTGTTCTTAATCTGGGCACACGTAGGATTCAGCGTTGAAGGCTCTAAGCCGAAAAGCAACCCGAGCCGTGGTCTCCTGTATCGTGGTCTCCTGAAATCGTAGAGGCTAGGAATTCTTCATGTAATGGGAATGCATTTAAGGGGCTTGCATCTAGAGCGCAAGAAGGGTTCCTGGCGCCCGTAAGGCCCCAACCCCTAAACCTGGTACTTTACACTCTCGAAGGCTCCAGCCTCTACAGCTGAACCCAGATCCCCCTCCCCTCAGAAGCCCGAGCCCTGCCGGAAAACACAAATATACAATCCTTTGCCAACCAGTACTTAATCCCTCAACATGTCCCCTGCAGGGAGGGGTGCTCTCGTTGAGAGTTTCTGTCTCTTTTTAGCCCTAAACCCTAAACCCTAAACCTTAAACCCTAAACCCTAAACCCTAAACCCGAAACCTTAACCCCTAAACCCTAAACCCTAAACCCAAAACCCAAAACCCTAAACCCTAAACCCTAAACCCTAAACCCTAAACACGAAACCCGAAACCTTAACCCCTAAACCCTAAACCCTAAACCCTAAACCCTAAACCCTAAACCCTAAACCCTAAACCCCGAACCCTAAATCCCAAACCCCTAGGATTCCTTACTCTCTGCGCCCCACACGTAAGCCCAGAGCCCAGGGAGCCGATCTCCGGACCCCCGCGGCGCCTCCCAGCGCCCCTTGGCCCTCTGAGGTTTGGGGGTCTTGTTTAGTGTTTTTTTGTTTTTCCTGCTTTTTTTGACATTTTGGTTCTCTTTTTTTGGGCGGTTCCGGGGGGTTTCTTGGAGGTTTTGGGTTTTGGAGGTTTTGGAGGTTTTGCTTGTTGCGGGTGGTTTGGGAGTTTGGGGCGTGAGGGTGGTCTAGGGTTGGGGTGTTTGGCACGTTCGCAAAATACAAGTGTCTTGTAAGAAGTGCTGGTGGGCATGAACCAGCAAGCCAGCATCCACCAAGGCCTGAACAAGAGCGGCACGCAGCCCCACCTCTCGCGGGTCGTCTCTCAGCGCGAGGTCGTGGACATCTCCATCACAGGAGACGGCCCAGGGTTTCTAGGCCTGACAGAGGCTCAAGAGCTTCAGAGGTTCTGGGGGCTGGAGCCAAAGCACCACATTGTCGTTCTGTGCTTGGTTTCAGAGTAAGAAGGAGTTGCGCCGGCTGGGGCCGCTTCTATGCGATGAAGGCGTGGGCACCGGATGGAGGATGGAAGAATCCCCCCCAATAATTGGGTTCCGTTTGTGCTGTAGTGTTGTGTTGTGAAGCACCATAACAAATGCACAGGCATCGGCCAGAGTGTGATTGCGAGGAAGTTTGCCCACCTGCGACAATTGTTAGTGTTTTGTGCATCTCTTGTTGGATCCCTTGGCAGACAGCAGTGCATTCTGCGGCCTCCTTTGTGGTCAATGGGGCTTCGGCCACGGATTAGGTACATTTTCAGGGGCCTGCAGCAGGGTCCTCAGGCCTGCCAAGGCATCCTAGAGCCCACGCAGTGTGCATCCAAGATGCCGCTGCCCTTGGCACGGATCAGCAGCCAGGGAGACCCAACCCATCTCACTTGAAGCCCCACGGCCCAAGTTCTAACCTCGAAGCCCTAGAGCCCCAAGGCCCCTAGGTGGTCTTTGTTTCGCTCGTTGCTGTCCGATGCCTCCACGTCCTCACCGGCGCATCTGTAGGCTTCACTGGGTCCTTAAGTTTTCTTATCTATTGAATCTATTGCCATCCCACAGCCCCTTTCTCGTTCGGGAACATCTGCAGGTTTGTGGGGGTGGGGGGTTGCTGGCGATGCCAGTTTCCATCAAGGGTTCCTGCACCGGTGATGGGCACCTGTCCTGACGCACAATGGTGCGCAAGACTCCCGCAGCTTTGTCCATGTCAGCTTTGGCAGCCCCGAGCTGCAGCCCGAAACCTGCCACTACAAGAGGAGGTAGGAATTAAAAAATAGTCATATTCATAGTAATACTAACCATAATACGATTAAAAATCATATTAATAAGAAAATTAAGAATGAAGGAACCTTGCTAGAGGATTCTTGTGGCCTTCAGGCCGCAGAGCCCAACCGCAAAGTCTCGAGACCAAGGATGTGGAAGAGGAAGAAGGGTGTCTTGTGGGCGTTGTGAGTCGTGTTCCCCAAGCGTAAAAACATATGCAGATTTGGAGGGCATGCAACTGGCAAAAGTTGAAAGTTAAACCAACCACCCTGTTTATGATGCAGTGGCGACTTGGACAAGCCTGTTGTCGTACAGGTCGTACAGTGGCCATGATCTCACTCCCCATAGCCCAAGAAAAGCCGTGCGCTGTCAGTGGCCGATGCTTCGAGTTGAGATACGTTCTGCTTCTTATTATCATTGTCATGATCTTTATTATTATTATTATTATTATCATTATTATTATCGTCACCAGTATTGTTAGTATTGCGATCATGTTAGTATGATGATGATGATGATCATGATGATTATTGTTCTTGTTGTAATTATTATTATTTTTATTGTAATTATTCTTACTATTATAATTATTATAATTATTATTATTACTACTATTATTATTATTATGACTTACTATTACTATTATTATTATTCTTATTTTTGTGACTACTATTATTATAATTATGATTCTGTTTCTTATGATTATGATGATGATGATGATCATTATTCATCAGCAACCAACCATGGCGGGTCCTGGCAAGGTGCCCATTTGAGCTCACGAGCACAGGCTGCAGAGCCAAACACACTGCAGCCGTTGTGGCTCCTTAGGGGGTTGCATCGGCAGTGCATTTTCCACAGCCGCTCGCTCCTGGTCTTTGCACCGTCAGCGAGCACCTGGGACCTGTATTGCAAGGGCCCGGCTCGTCCCAAACACAAGAACAGCAACAATCCTGTAGTTGCAGCTTCTCACTATGAAGTTTCGGCTAGGCCGTTTGGCCAGTGACTTTACAAGCGAGTGCAAGTTGGTTTGTTGCTCATGCTGTTGGGTGACGATACCTTCTAGAAAAAGCAGGCGACAGACCTTTACTCCCCGAATGCCTGACAGGAGGCCTCCCTAGACTCCGCCAAGCCCCGTACCAGACCTCCGAGCTGCATCCGAAATCCCTCTAACAGCTCGGACTTTTGTTTGCGGAACGGGACCTGCAGCCTGCCTACACCCACCCGACCATATCAACTTTTAAAGCCCCTGATTCGAAACAAGGCCAGGCCCTGAAGGCCCTGACCCTCCTGCGCCCTCGTTCTTATCCCAGGCCACATGAGACTCCTGGGCTTCCTCCTCTTGGACCTGGCGCTGGCGGATCTCGCCTTCCTGGCCCCGCCCGTGAGTCGCGCGCCCAGTGGCGGCCTGGCTGCGTTTGGGAGAAGAGGAGGGGAAAGGGGCGCCTGTTCGGGTGGCCCAAAGTTCTGGGTTCCCTTTGAGCTTTCCCTATGATCTTGGCATCGTACATGCCTGACGTTACCCTGCTGGCATGTCAGGTCCAGCTAAGGGATGTTGCCCAACCCTACTGGCGATGTGAAGATGTAGTGTCGATGGAATGTGAATGTAGTGAACAAGTGAGCAAACGATTACATGTAACGGTAGCGCACATGCGTGTGTGCCAGCTACCTGTGTTGCTTTAGACATCTCAAGCCCGGTCTTTGGTAATACCACGGTTGATTGTGATTGATTACATTGTCGCATCAGTGCGGTTTTACTGCGGTTGTTGGTTAGGATACGGCGGCTACGTTAGCATGACCTTAATTCTGTTCATAGTTACAGTCATCGTTGTAGATCATGTAGTTTTTAGGGTGTTCAGTGGGGAGGGGGTTTTAAGGGGTAAAAGGACGGACCCATACACCTTAGTTAGCTATGTACCTAAGTAGCCCCCAATAAACCCTAAAAAACCCCCAAGCTCCCTTTCAGGGCCCCTCGAGTTTTTTCAGAGCTCAGGGTTGGCTTCAGGACTCCTCTCCCCAGTCGCCCGGGATGCAGAGATTCCGGTGCCGCCCAAGCAGGCCGATCTGCTTGAGCGTAACCCTAAACCCTAAACCCTAAACCCTAAACCCTAAACCCTAAACCCTAAACCCTAAACCCTAAACCCTAAACCCTAAACCCTAAACCCTGAACCCTGAACCCTGAACCCTAAACCCTGCGTCTCGGTCCGCCGCTTTGTGGCACAGTGCCGTCTTCTCTCAAACAGGATGACGAGCATGTGGCACGCGCTGGATAGGTTCTTGTGGGTGTCTTCTCATCGGGACTTTAAATCATGGACTCCTCAAAACTTGAAAGGAACCCCCTGAAAAGAAATTTCGCGCAGCAAAACACAAAAAGCAACTCCCAAATACCCGGGACCCCGCGCGCGCGCGCGCGCGCGCGTCTCGTTGTGGAGGCCGCCTCGACGGGCCTGAATGCGGCGCTGCTGCTCGGAGTCTCCGCTGTGGCCATGGCTCTGGTACCCGCAGCCTGCAGCCCCAAACCCCCTAACCCCAACACCCAAAACCCCAACACTTAAACCCAAACCAAAGGTTTGGGGTTTCGGGCCATTGCTTTAAGTTCAGGGCTCCGGGAGGCTGTGGGATCTCATGTGCTGGGGTTGCCGGAGAGTTTCTTTTTTTTGTTGTAAATGTTTGGGGTTTGGGGTGGATTTGGTCCATGGATTTTGGCGTAAGGGGGTTTTTGGTTCAAGGCTTTCAGGGTGTTCAGTGACAGTGCTTCAGAGTTCGGTTGAGGGTGGGCGCCCCGTTCCTTGAGCCTCTCCAAGGCACGCCGCCGAGCCAACCTGGCCAGGCGGGTCTGGACCTACATGCCCATGGATGCGGCCGGGCGGCAATCCAGCCCTTGCTTCCCTTGCGCGTCTTCCATTGTTTCGGCCGTAAGTGATGGGGACCAACCTGGAGTTGATGTTGTGTAAGTGAATACGAAAAACCAGAATAAATAACTACATCGAAAGACATAGTGTATAAGTGTATATGCGTGTGATTTGCATGCAAAACATGTATGTGTCTGTTACTCTGCTTGAGACCTGCTGAGAACACCATAAATGCCGTTAATAGCTACCAGAATGAAGTTCTAGTAAGCCACAGCTGTACTTGGCACCGGATTCCGGTTCGCGATGCTACGATACTTCAACGCGAGTCTTGTGGTATTTACAGCACCTCCAGCTCGTGCATATGCCAACAGCCCAGTGTTCAGCTTATCCTCACGAGTTAATGTAACGTGTATGCATTCCGTACTTCGGGCCACTTCGGGTGAGTTTTACATTTCTGAGCCGGAATGGCTGTTGACGCAAACAACGGACATGAATGCTTGCCACGTGTTCGCGACAGCATCCCTATATCTTCAAATCCCTACATACGGACGTGCACTTTATCATCTCTGCCATGTCCGAGACACAGTGTATGGTACGCGCGACAGTCCAGAGATTCTCAGTGTATACATCATCGAATGCAGGAATTTACAGAAATAACATAGGTTTTTAGGCCATGTAATTAATGCAAATAGCCCTTACATTTCTTCGCCTTCCTCTTGATTATATTGCAGTACCGGTCGAAGGCTTCGTGCTTTGCTTTATTTGCTTTAGGAAACAGACAACACAGACGCGATATCGACACGGGAATATTGTCAGCATATGTATATATGTACAAATGTATATCCATGTCAGTGTAGGTAGAAAGCAACGACAGGTTCAAATAGGTAAAACATGAACATGAATCTAAATACATCACTAAAGAAAAAGGTGTGTATATATATATATATATACCGAAGTATATGTTTACGTCTGCATAGACCGATAGATGCCCCAGCAGTCGGGCAATGATAACATTTGTCCCTGCAACCGTTGCCTTGCCCAAGGAGAAGTATCAGAAGGATTGCCCTGGGCTGGGCAAGAATGCCTCCGGGCCTCTATGGCGCCAGTACATGCAGCCTGTCCCTACTTTTGTTTGGAAGAGGTTTCAGCTCTTTGGTGGGTTTGCGTTGAGGCACCCATGGGGCCCATGCCTGATGTCGTGGCACTGCAAATTTGATGGACTTGTCGTTTCCTTGCCGCCAAAAATGGCGCCGAGGAACTTGCATCGAGAGGCCAAGAAGACGATGGGCCGCAAGGCCACCCGTTCTTGATGCACTGGTGCGCTGCCAGGTGTCCAGAGATCACAGTGCCAGAAGCTCGAGCCTGTTGCCAGGTCCGCTATCTCAAGCAGCAGCGGATCCTCCGTGATCACAACGTGTGGTGGGGATGGTACGGCAAGTGGCATGTCTGGAACCCCAACCCGGGCATCAAGAACCTCTACACAGCTCCTGGGCTTGAACCGAGCTACTTGAGCTCCTGCTTCAAGCTGCTGCTCTCCAGCAGCTCCAGCTACGCAATGCTAAGCACCTCCATCGCCTTCTCGGAATGATTCGGTCATTTTTAGGTGGTTGTGCCAGTGCAGGACGCGCAAGCACTAGAGCTCCGAAGCCTCCACCCAAGCTCCAACAGCCGCGAGCTCCCCTCAGGGCAAAGACTCCCATCCGGACAATCCAGACGCTTGGAAGCAGAGTTTAGTGTTTGGGGTTTCGGGTTGAGGATTCATCATGCGGACCGGGTGTTCGGCCCATTTTACCTGTTTCGTTCTCATTTTTGTTGCTGACTCGGTGTTTCTTCAGCCTCCCCCTTGCTACCCCAAGGGCTCTGACCAGGATTTGTGACTGGACCGCTTGAATTCTCTCCCTCGCCTGGAGCGGAAATGGCTGAGTGTAGCTGTGCAGCAGTGCAACGCGCGGACGAATGAGGGATCGCAACGATCGGGACATACATGCATTCACCTGCATCCGTTTCATCCCTATCAGTTCACCCGTAAACTCCCTGCAAGACCTTGGTGGCTCCAGTGCAAAGCAAGGATTTCCCAGCGCCCAACAGCGGGCTGCAAGCCTTCGGCAGCGAGCTTTGATAGTTTCGCGGGGTTGGGGGTCTAGGATGATTGAGGCTTTGCTGGAACAGAGTTGGACTTTGGAATTGGGATCTGCGTTGGGGGGGTGGATGCTCCGTTGCTCAGGATGCAGCATGGCAGCTCCAGAATCCCACGTGCGCGCTCCAAGCCCAAGGGTTACTGATCCTGACCTTCATTGCTGAGGCACCCGCTCCGTGGCGCCTGTGGCCAGCCGCAGTGCTTTTGTGGCTGGCAGGCAGGGGTTTCGATTTGTGGCAGCCAAATGTGTGGGGGAAAAGGTTGTGGGTTAAAGCTCCCTGGGTTTGAGGATTGCCGCTGCCGACAATGGGTTTGAGGATTGCCGTTTTCGGAAGTTGAGGTATCTTAGGCCAGGTTGTCAGGCAGCGGAACACTACCCTAAACCCTTAACCCTAACCCTAAACCCTAAACCCTAAACCCTAAACCCTAAACCCTAAACCCTAGTCCCTAAACCCTAAACCCTTACAAGAAGAGAGCGTGCCTTCTTGTGGCTGCAGGGCGCCGACGATGGGCTCTGCCAAGCGGGCAGCCTGTGGCCTCAGCGTGTTCTGGGACGTTTAGGGTTTAGGGTTTAGGGTTTAGGGTTTCGGGTTTCGGGTTTAGGGTTTTAGGGTTTTAGGGTTTGGGGGACAAATTCCACAAGGAGAGGGTGATCTTCTGAGAAGAGTGTAAGAATATTATACTACGAACAATTCAATAAGACTAGAACGATGCTACAATACAATAATGTAATATTGAAATATAAGAATGTTATAAGATCTTCATCTTATAAGACTATGAGATTATGACATTATAGTATGATGAGACTGCAGTATTATAGCCTCGCAGTATTTTAATTTTAACGTTATGCGACCCGCCGGCCCAGCGCATCCGCGTGAGCATGGTGATTCTGCAGCGCCCAAGTAAGGGTTGGGTTTAGGGTTTAGGGTTCCGGGTTTATGGTTTATGGTTTGGGGTTTAGGGTTGAGGGTTAGTTTAGGGTTGAGGGCTTAGGGCTCAAGGTTCACGGTTTGGGGTTTAGGTTTTTTTTGGGTTTAGTGTTCAAGGTTCAAGGTTCAAGGTTGAGGGTTGAGACGGTTCGGCTTGGATTGATCGTAAAGTTGAGCCCGGCCCCTCAGGGGGGGGAGGGGGGGGGGGGGGGGGGGGGGGGGGGGGGGGGGGGGGGGGGGGGGGGGGGGGGGGGGGGGGGGGGGGGGGGTGGGGGGGTGGGGGGCCGACGTATGGTTTTGGGTTTGGGGGGGGATTAGGAGGGGGGTGCCTGTTCTGACAACCTATACACCTTTGGCCCGAGGCCTCGGCGGATATTCGAATATATCTATATATATATATATATATACATTTTTTTTTACTACTATAGTGTTATAGTATTATCATATGATATTACAATATTCGAGTATTCTAATGTTATAGTATTCTGATATTATCAAGCTCTGGCACCGAAATATTACAATTTAACGTCGTTGGCAACGTTCTGCTTGAGTAAGCGTTTGTGAGCCATGCCAACTGGGTAGACGCTGGTGGTTCGTAGTTGGTGTCTCGAAAGACCTGCTGCTCCAGTGCACAAGACATCAGTAGCTGCCATCCTGCCAAACGTATCTTGCAGGAAGTCGTTGCTGTGTCCGTTGCGGCTCAAACCTTAAAGTCGCTGAAGTCCTGAACTGCCTAAACGCACTTAAGCCCACCTACACCCCCACACACAACCACGAGAAGGGAGCGAGCTTCCACCAGAATTTGTGAGGTCCTGTCGGCTCCGCGAGCCCGGTCCGGGCTGGTAATGAAGGCCCACAAGAAGGCACAGAACGCGCGAACGTGGGGGGTGGTTTTTTGTGTCTGCTGCAGACATACTTAAATTGGTGACATCGGGCCCCCCGATTCTACAGCCTGAACCCATCTCCCTCCTTTCTTTGTGCTAACCCTTGCTCTCTTCCTCGGAATCTCGTGGTTTTCCTTCTTACATGTTGTGACGAATCCCAGCAGCTTACCATTAAGGCTTCAGGAAGTTGCTTTTGAAGTTTGGCGATGTCTGGCTGTCGACAAGCACTTTTGCTTCGAGGGGGAGGGCATGTGCAGAACACGAGCATGCCTGAATTAGCAGAAGGAGACCGAGCAGAGGGAAATGCGGATCTGTTGTGATCGGAACCGTTGGTGCTAGGCTTTGCACCGAGTATTCTTGTCCTTCCAAACGCAACAGAGATTCCATGAAAATGTCCAGCGCCGCAGAGTACACTGTTCATGTCGCCGCCACTGCAGAAGAGTTGGCACAGTGCCAGTCACTCCGACGTGACGTGTTTGTCACGGAACAAAAACTTCCTGCGGACGCAGAGGAGGATGGAATGGACCCGCGTGCTCTTCACATCATGTTCATGGAAGACGCCCAGCTGATTGCGACTGGACGGGTGCTGATCACCCGCGATGGGGACCTGGCTAAGGCCATCCTTGCGCGAGTTGCTGTTCGATCCGACCATCGAGGTCGGGGACTTGGTAGTCGTGTTGTACAGGAGCTGGAGACGCTCGCTAGATCAAACGGAGCCAGCCAGGCCAGCTTGACTCCCCACCACTACTTGGAGCAGTTCTACTCTCGCATGGGATATCGGCGACCACCCGATGATGCCATCATTCACGTTACCGACAAGTGCCAGCTGATAACAATGAAGAAGAGTTTTGATGCAGATTAGTTCGCTTCTCGCATCGAGAAAGGACTGGTGAATTAGGGAGCGAGCTCTTGGGTGTAGAACAGGCAGACCCTCAGCCTCAGACAAAGGAGGCTAGTTTGTCTTGCCAGCAAGTTGGTCGCATGTGCATTGCATTGAAAGTCGGAGTTTGTCACCCGAATCTGATTCCCAAGCGCTCAGCCCCAGCAAATCCCCCAAATGCCCTGTGCCGCAGAAAAGAAGGCATCAGTAGAACACTTCGCCCACCTTTGCTTCCCGCGCTTGTTGGCCAGGCAGCTGCGAGTACCAAGAACCAGGGCAACTCCCGGAATCCCCATCACTGGGGCGTCCCCTGGCAAGTTTTCAGGAGGTACTCTTTTTCTTTTTGGGCATGGAGGCCTAGAGGCCCTGATAGCTTCGTGGCGAATCCCCTGCTTGCCTGCGATTCCGTCTATAGAATCTAGAGAATTTCAGCCCGTGCTGCTCGCACTTTGCAGAAGAGTGCGGGCATCCACTGGCCGCAGCTGTCATCCTAACAGCTGCCTAGGTGAAGGCGTTGGGCGGCAAGGCCGTGAAGGTCCGTCAGCGCCTGGTCAAGCAGCATCGTGGCTGCAAACATCTTCTCACATTCAAAGCCCTTATGCAACCATGAGTGGTCGTTCTACGTTCTGATGTGTTTTTTTCTCATCGTTTTGGGGGTGAAGCCATGCCTGCCCATCTGTGGAACTTCAGAAGCAGAGGGAAACATTCGAATCTTTTCCAGGCGGGCCATGAACTGGTACCCGGGCAACAACGTCAAGATGTGCAAGAGTCTTGTCTAAAGCTTTCGGCTGTTCTTGGCAGATGTTGGGACTGTTGGCTGTTGATTCCTCCGCCTGAACCGCTATGCTCACGGGAGCAAAAAAAGAGAACCAAAGAGACCTCGAAGCGCATCTTCGAGTCCCAGGCAAACCCCGTCAAACCCCCGAATCCCGAAGTGTTGCAGCATTCAAAGGGTTCGTGAGAGCCTATCGCATGCAGCCTCGTACTGGAATCTGGAAGGCTGCCGTCGCCTGCAAGTAGCAGCTAGAGCCGCTAGCCGCTGGCTAGTCGCTAGCTAGCCTCCAGTAGCTCATCCATGTCCGAAAGGGGGTTTCCGAAATTCGGGGTACCCTATTCGGGGTCCAAAAAAAGGGAAGCCTACTATTTCGGGTCTCTATTAGGGGTCCCTTATCTTCGTCAACACCCTAAAGATTCTAAAGCGCTATTGCGTGCTGGTTTTGTCGTGACCCACCTGACGCACCCATGCAGCTGTTGCGGGTTCCCGGAATGGCCAGTTTAGGGTTTAGGGTTTAGGGTTTAGGGTTTAGGGTTTAGCACAAACGCTTCAAAAGCACGGTCTGAAGTGGGGACAAGGCTCCGAGGAGGGGGGTGTTGGGCCCTTCGAGCAGCTCTTGATACCAGAAGCCTTGGGCGAGTGGAGATCTCCTTGGCGCTGGCAGCAACGAGTCATTACCACCTACTTTGCGATACTGCTGCCTTCCCTGCATCATCCTTGCTTTTCTGTGTCTCGACTGATGTGCAGAAGGTTGCCTCGGAAAGACTGAAACCATCCTGAAACCACCATCTGCGTCGTCCTACACCTCCAAACCACGAAGCCTCCTTTAGCCTGAGGGACATGTCGCTGATTGCGCTGAAAGACGGCATCGTGCAGTGGCGTGGCGATTACCGCCACAAGGAGGCCCACGCAGAGACTAGATGTTCTTTCGACTTAGGGCTTGTGGTCCGAGATCTGCACTTGAGGGTTGCAGATCGCAGCGTTCAGGTGCTCCTTGCGTTTTGCGTTGTGAACTCTAGGGTTCTGGTTTTGGTTCCCTTCCCCCGGCGCACTCAGCGCTGTTAGCCCTCCGATCCCGAAACCCCTTGTTCGCAGGTGAGCGTCGTGCCGTGGGAGTACGTGAAGAAGAAGTGCAACTGGTCTTCCACCAGCACCCTGGCGCCTCCGAAGCAATGGCCTGCTTCTTCTGGAGCCTTTCCCTAAACCCTGAGCCCTAAACCCCAAACCCTAAACTCCGAAAGAGAAGGGCTTCCAACATGATGGTAAACGAGTCGGGCTGCAGGACTTTAGGGTTTCCGGGGTTCAGGGTTGTAAGGAGTTGAAGGGTTTTTAGGTCTTAATGTTTTTTTTTTTGGGTTTCTGGGCTGTTTTATTTTTTTGTTTTGTTTTTGTTTGGGTATGTTTTTTTTTTTTTAAAGTTTTCGGGGTGAAGGTGGGCTTTCAGGGGTTGTTCTTAATATTCACACAAGAATGCTGTGGGGGCATGCTGCTTTGTAGGTGACTGTTTCAGAGTTTTGTTTTTCTCTCTTTATTTTTACATAATGTCATACTCGAGTTTTCTTGTACATCATCGAGCCAAAAGCTGCCAGGTGAAAAAGATGCTACACCAACCTGTACCCTCATCGTTCCAGTAAAACAGGCCTTACATTCCTGCAAATGACAAGAACACACTTCGTTCAGCTTTGATTTTTCCCCAAACAGCCTACTGTTGGGGGTCTAAATTCATTCAGAGATTGCCGACATTCTGAGGACTGTTGCCGGGTTCCTGGGCTCCTTGTCTCCCTTTGTCTCCCTTTGTCTCCGTTTGTCTCTGTTTGTCTCCCTTTGTCTCCCGTTTGTCTCCCTTTGTCTCCCGTTGTCTGCCTTTGTCTCCCTTTGTCTCCCTTTGTCTCCCTTTGTCTCCCTTTCTCTCCCTTCATGTGGGTGGCTTTGCGGGGGTTGCTGTCCCTTTGTCTCCCTTTGTCTCCGTTCGTCTCCCTTTGTCTCCCGTTGTCTCCACTGTTTCTTTGACGTGCCTTTGACTGTTTGGGGTCTTCGGTGGTCTAGTTCAGGTAGGATATACACATATTTTATGTATGTGCTTATATACATATGCATACGCGCAACAGAATTCAACATATTCCATGCGTGGTCATTAAAACCCTAAGCCCGAAACCCCAAGTCAATGCTCCAGCTTCCTGTGCGCCTGAATCCAAGGCGCCCAAGAGGTACGAGCCATGGATGGGCAACAAATTCGATGGCACGGGCGCCCGGGTTATAGTACCCCCTACTATAATCCCTTTTGAGGACTGTCAGTATAAGGGCGAGCATCCCAAAGTGGGGATGTTTGAAGCAAGCATGCTGTCGGTTCTGTTGTCGTGGCTGATGCGCATGTAGCCCACTTTCACAAAGCTCGCAGTCGTCGGCTCTTTGCCAAGCCAGGGGGCGCCCAAGGGCATAAGGACCCTTAGACAGACGACCGCTGCAGGCTTTCTGGCAGTTCAGGGCCCTGCCACCTGAGGCCATAGCGAGAAGTGGCCCGTCCGAAAGCTGTATGACGAATGGAAGGCGGGTTTGACAAGCATAGCTTCTGCCGAACCAGCACATTCCGCCCCTGAGGAGACAGATGCGGGAAAAGCTTATATTTCTATGAAGGCGGAGAAGAAGGCTGGGTAAGGGAGTGCCATGAAAAGGACCAGTAAGTATGCCTTTCTGATAAGTTTCCGAACGCCCGAGCTGCTTGCCTTGGAGCACTGGCAGGCCAAGCAGAAAGAGATCCAGAAGCGAATTCGGTGCCCGTCCTGGCATTTTCGGGGCCCCGGCCCGTCTTCTTGCTGTCAGAGTTCTGCAAGGGTGTGTTGCAGCAGTTTCACAGGGCCAGATGCGGGTACTTCCCGAAGCATACTCAATGCCTTCATTGCATCTGATCTTCACGCATCCCGAGGGCAAAGAAGGCCCTCCGATGGCAAGGAAAGGAAAAAAAACAAGATAAGGCCTGATGTTTGAGTTCGGTGGTCTGTGCCAGGTCACACTTAGGAACTTAGGTGCGCGTCAGGCAAGGACTGGGCTATTCTAGATACTTAAACACGAAGCCTTTCTTGTTTAGAAGTTGATGACCTGCAGGTGGCTGCCGGAGACTCGGACAGCGAAGCTGAGAAAGCGTGAAGGGCCACCGGTCAAAAAAAGGCACGACGGGTCACTGGGCCCAATGCGAGAGTGGCCATCGACGACTGATTGCCTCGCACTGGTACCAGTGGCCTCCCCCGCCAACATGGTGTGTAGAAGAAGATGTGGCGCCGGCTGCTACACAAATAACCACAGGCCCAAGACTCATGAGTTGCCACAGTTTCGAACATCTACAGCATTGGTACCAAATCATGTTCCTACATATGCCCGAAGCACAGCAACAGCCCTGAGTGCAGCTCCGCGCGCAGCTGTCGCTGCCGTCATGGATGCTTCATCTGTAGTCGTGCTGTCCTACACAGGCTACCTGCAAGAGCCGGCATGTGATCACGTGGCCTGCGACAGCGGCGCTTTCTAACGAAGATTTTCTCGTCAACTGACTGCAGCTGGCGCGGAGAAATGCTTGGGGGGCTCAGCGCAGCCGCAGGTCGAGTGTGGAGTGCTTCGGACCTACCCAGGTCACCTACCTTCCAAGTGTCTCCAGTGGTGCGACCGGGCCGTAGCTGTTCTGCGTGCAGTATGTCGCCAGAGCATCGAAGTGCATTGGAGCCTGCACAGGTTATCTCGCACCGCTGCCTCTCACCCTTTCCTGCCATGCCCCCCAAAAAGACTCTGCCAGGAACCTCCCTAATTAAACCCTAACCTTAAGCCCGAAACCCTGAACCCTAAACCCCCGCTCCCGACCCAAAAAGCTGCGCAGCCATGGCGCTGTCTCTGCTGCGGCTCTCGGAATTGGCTGTGGCGGTCTGGCGCCCGGTTGAACCTGCAACCTTTATCTCCGCCCCGAAATCTTTAAAACCGCCTGCCCCTTGTAGGAATTTTCGGGGGCTCGGGGGGGGGGGGGGGGGGTGGTTGTAATACGCCTAAACCCTTAACCCTATAAGGGAGAAGGGCAAGCCTTTTTGAAAGAGGCGCTGGTGGATGTGCCTGGCTCCTGTGCTGCCCGGGCCTCGCGGAAGTTGCTTGCGCGTGGACGCCTCACAAAGAACACGTGAAGACCCCCCAAGCCATGAACGTCCTAAAGTGTTCAGGGCCTACGGGTTAGGGTCAAAACATGCTTAAGCCCTGAAGCCCTATCAGAGACCTCAAGCCCTGAACCCGAACTTCAGGGTTCGCGCAGGGGACGGTCTTCAGGTTTCGCGCTCCTTCACCTTGGTGAAGGTGAAACACTTCGGTCCTGGGCCTGCAACCCTGAACCAGCCTGAACCTAAACCCTAAACCCTAAACCCTAAACCCTAAACCCAAAACCCAAAACCCAAAACCCTAAACCCTACGAATGCGAGGACCAGGACCTCATCACCATGCTGGCGGCCAACGCCTGCGTCCTCCTCAGCTGAGCTGGGAGTTGCATAACACGGCATTCCCTGGCGAGAGCCGGCTCAGCGATTCCTCTTCAGGGGTTAGGCTGTTTGGGTTTAGGGTTTTTTGGGTGTTTGGGCCAAGGTTTGAACACTTGCTTCGTTTCTTGTTGCTGCAAGAAGTTGCCCTGATTTTGTTGTCTGTCACAGTATGGTGCAGGTTTACGCCGTATTAGCCCCCGCTCCGTCGTTCTGCTGCAAGAACATGATTGATATAACATCAGTGAGAAAGAACCTGGCGGCCCTTCAGTAGATTATGATTACGCGGACAAGGAACTGACTGTGAAGGCTTGATCGTTCTCGCCAAGCACATGATGCACAAGCAACAGGGGTTTCTGCCATCAAAGGGGCGAACGCTGAGCGGCACATTTGTCTTTGGTGGGCTTAGACGATGACAGTGGCCATCTTTACCCGAAGCTGTTTCAACCTGTGGCTGAAGGCTTTCAGGGGACCTCCTTGAAGCAAAACCCCCCCCCCCCCCCCCCTGCGCGGGCGCAAACCCTGTAAGATCCGTCGTGGCAGCTGAAGTTGGGTTCTCCTGGCAGAAGAAGGCGAGTTGTCACGTCCGAGGCCAGACACCGTCGGAGCAGCGGCTTGACAGAAGTTTTGAAGTTTTCAGGGATCTTTGAAGGGTGCGGCTCGGCTGTCGGACCTTGTTTGGAAGCGCACTTTTCGAGAGTCCACGTGCGTGGCAGCAATGCGCTCACAGGCACACTCGCTCGCCGTCACAGTCACAGTCACACTCACACATATGCTTGAATGTTAAACAGGGTCAAGGTTGTCGACATGTGCGCATAGCAGTTCTTGTTTTGCACCGCGTTGTCGTCACGTTGTCAAGTGTAGCTGCTCTCTCGTGTCTTCTTGTGTATGGCGTGCATGGTGCGCGTGTTACCAGCCGAGAATCCTGATGCTGGCTGGCTCAAGCTGCGACGGTTAGCGGAAGGGGCCCTCTTGTGGAAAGGAGGGGCGTCGCCTTTGAAAGGCTCCCCTTACCGCCTGCCAGACCTTGAGCAGGCAAGCAGAGCTTCCGAGGATCTCAGGTATGCTGGTAGGCCCTGGCATTCAGTTACTTCAGCTAGGGGCAAACAGGGATCATCAGGGCCTATTCTGGCTTATGGGTTCATGGCAAGTTGAGCCGGGGGGGGAGGGAAGTTCCAAGTGCGTGGTACTTGTGTTGCGCGATTCGCCGCAGGTCTCGACGCACGGCATGGGTTGGGGAGCCGGCAAAGCCACATGCTGAGTTTTTCCGAGGTTGATTGCCTTATGGGCCCGTTTTTGGTACACTAAGCTATAAGGAATAAGGTCCTTGAGAGAACGGGCCCAGAAATGAGATGAACCCCACTTCTCAGCCCCACGTTTCATGATCCCTTGGTAGTCATGGTGACGGCGTGGCAAACAAAGTCTGCCAGGGTCATACGCTTGGGTAGTTAACGCAGTATCTGGCAAATGAAGACAGCCAGTTGCGAATTGGTTGGTTTCTCCCTGCGATGCCAAGGGTGGTAAGGGCTATGCGCCTGTTCAGAAGCCGTTTCTGAAGGCCAAGCCAAGGGACCAGGGAGCATGACCCGCCACTTCAGTGTCGTATTTGTCTGGGATTGTTTAGCATCCCGCTTGCAGGCACCAGTGATCCGGCCAGCCGTTGTGAAAGTCCCTCGGCCTGTTGGCGCCTGGGCCAGTGGAGGAACAGTTCGCGCGTCTCCCCGGCCCGTGGCACCTGGCGCAAGAGCCCCAATGCTGGTGAAGCCCATGGTGCGTGCCGCACCTGCTGGGGGCCACCCGGCGGCTGTCAGACCAGGAGCCCAGCCAGTGTACAAGAGCACCCGCTTGACCCGAAGCCTGAGCCCACAGTCCTTTCCCAGGACCGCTGGCTGGCACGAAGGTCGGACTCCTGGTTCACAGACTTTGCAGGGCTTTGCAGGGCATTGGCAGGATTCCACAGTGCAGCCCTGTGATTGGGAGAGGGAAGTGTTCAGAGTGTTCAGGCGATTCGGACAAAGGTGCATCTGTAAACCGCAGAACACAGCCCCCGAAGCCTGACAGCATCTGCAATGCTACACTCTTCAGCCCCTCCGCTTTGGCGCTAGTAGCCTCGCAGCCCGAGGCCAACCTCCGAAACCTCTCAAGCCTCAAATATCTCCGCAGAAAAACATTTTTGTAACCCGTAGACCCTTGCAAGGGCAAGGCCCCGGCCGCCTTCGCTACCCCGATGCCTGGCTCCGCAATTCAGCCGCGCCTTCCTGAAAGATGTCTGAGGGGTTATATGATGGTATTCCGGTATTCCCTCTACATCGTCTTGGTCTTCTTATTGGTATAGGAGTGCAGGGGTGGGCTACTTCTATATTAGTCTTTGGGTAGTTTCTCTCATCTAAATCTACATTTCATTCGGTTATTCAGTACGGCTCATAAGGGGATTCTGCGCTTGGGGTTCTGGAAAGCTTCAGGGTTAGAGTGGTTGGTTCCTCAAAGTCAGTTGAATTTCAGGGCGGACCTTAAGCCTCTGAGTGCCATGGCCTTACAACAAGTATCGAAGGAAACAGCTTCAGGCCTTGCGTTGCCTTCTTGTGCCTTTGCGAAGCCTATGCTGTATCCCGCGTCGACGCAACGGAACAGCTCCGATAGACGTCTTCTTCGCGAAGCCACTGCACACCAAGACACTCCCTGCAATGAACGTCGGATAGTCCAGACCCCAACGGTCTTTGGAGCTCTTCTACTTGTAAGTCACGAAGGAGACACCCATCGAATTGCCTTGTCGAAACGCTTGCAATGTATTCCGCAAATCCTTGGGTTTAGGGTGTGTGTTTGAGCACGAGACAGTAACAGAATTCGAGAAAAGATAGGGAGGGACGTAAGAGAGACAGACAAACGAGAACAAACGTGCTACCTCTTGGACTTCGCACTCGGGCACGCACAGCACATGGGAGGGCTTTGACCTGACCCCGCAGAAGAAGAAGAAGAAGAGAGACACAGGGAGACAGGGAGAACGACCAGTCCGAGAAGAAGAAGAAGACAAAGAGGAAGAAGAAGAAGAAGAATAAGAAGAAGAGGAAGAAGAAGAATAAGAAGAAGAAGAAGAGGAAGAGTTATGCTCTGAAAGCATTATCCTTTTCTCAGGACGGTGTGTTGGGCGGCTCTACAGCCTCAAATCATCTCAAATCCTAGATCCCCAAGCAGACTTCAGTGACTTTAGTGGGTTACGGCTTGCGGGATGCTTAGAGCTGGCCTCAAAGCACTGCAGCGCCAATGCCAAGGGGGCCCCCCCCCCCCCCACCAAAAAATGTCAAAAGCCTCCCCCCTCTCTCCCCGGCCCCGGAACCTGCAAGGAACAAAAAAGCAGCAAAACGACCGCAACTAAACTGGCTATGTTTTTGCGGGCTTCTACGCAGGGTGGCCATGCCGCTGGTATTTTCAGCATATTGATATGAGACCCGGCTTTTCATTTTGCGCAGACCGTGCTGAAGCAAGCAAGCATTTCGACGCGCGAAAAGGCTACGTCCATGCAGCTTCTCATCCAATTTGCATGATTTGTTGTCTAAATGCTGCACGAGTTTGGTATGCTCTTTGCCTGATTCTAGGAGTACAAATCTGTTTCTCCTAGGCTAGTAAACAAACATGAAACGGCAGCAA